TCCCCCCACACTCTTCAGCTTTCCATTTCCACACACACACACCTGCAGCCTCTTCCGTGCTCTGAAGTCCTGACTGCCACAGAGTCCACCATTTTTTGTGCTCTGAAGCCCTGACTGCCACAGAGTCCACCGTTTTTTCCAGGGGAACTGATCTCTGCCATCTGGAGAGCGGTTGTAATTCTGAGTGATCTCCAGCCCTCACCTAGAGATTGGCAACAATGGTTTCCCAGGAGGAAACATAGTCTTGCTCTGCAATGGGGACCAAAGCAGCTTACATCATTCTGCTCTCCCTCTTTTGACTTGCGCAACAATCCTGTGAGGTAGGTTAGGCTGAAAGTCTGTGACTGGTCCAAAATCACCCACTCAGCTTCTACAGCAAGAACTTTGATCTAGCATACCCTGCTCTGAAGCACTGACTGCTATGCCTAGGGTAGCCAACCTCCAGGTGGAGCCTGAAGATCACCAGGTATCACAACTGAACTCCAGACAACAGATTTCTCCCTCCCCCCCTCCCCAGCGAAAATAACTGCTTTGGAAGGTGGGCTGTATGGCATTCTGTTTAGCTGAGGAATCTCCCTACCTGGCCACCCTAGTCAGTACTGGCCCCAATGAGTTCCTCACAAAGGCCTATGAAGGGTTTCCTTCCTTTGTCTGAACCAAGCTTGGTTGCCTACTGTGGCAAAATGGGCTCCAGTTTACAACTCAGCTGTTTGCCTGCCTCCCTCGTCCCGTGGGTGTATCTGACTCATTAAGATTGCTGCCACCACTCATGGAACCGTCACTGCCTTTTTAGAGGGACCCTTGCTTCTGTGGGCTACCTCCTCCCTATCTGGAGATGGAATCCCCAATCTTTGGGGGATCCCTGGAAAGTTGGCAACCCAAGGATCTGGCCTTTCCTTGCCTCCTTGGGCCCCCCCCTCCCTTTGTTATTGTGCAGAGCGGGGGAGACTATGTGGTCAGAGCATAACAGAGCATAACAGAGATTATTAGCCCAAAGAAAAGATTTTATCTAAGTATTTACACAGTTATGGAGCACACACACATGCTAAATAAATAAGGCACAGCTGTAGGAGTAAGGACACACTAAAAACAGGTTTGAGTGGATGCGGGGAAATCACATGAAGCTGCGGGGCAAAATGCGGTCACGCAGCCGCTTGTGTGAAATTGACACGTACCATCGGGCCAAAGAGAAGAGTGAGTCCAGAGCAGCGCTTGTGGGAAATCACCCTTACTCTGAGTCAGACATTGTTTTGTCAATATTGGTAATGTCTGCTCTGCCTGGGTGAAGCTCCCTAAGGTCTCCCTAAGGTCTCAAGCAGGTACAAAGCCATAGACTCCACCCTCCAAACCAACTAGTCCCTTATGAGGAACCATCGTTGCCAATCTCCAGGTGAGGGCTGGAGGTCACTCAAAATTACAACTAGAAATCCGTTTGCCAGTAATTCTGGCAGGGCACAGTGGCTGAAGGGGGAGTGGGCAGGGAAGAGGAGCAGACCCAGCCAAGGACACGCAAGTACTCTTGAGTGGTGGCTGATGGGCCAATGGCTGAGGGAGTGCATGGAACGTTGCCACTTGAAAACAGAATTATATATAAGGAGAGATTGATGGGTTGATGGATGTTATTTATAGGCCACCTTTCTCTCCAGGACTCGAGGTGGATTAGACATAGTGGATCAGTACAGTCTACCAAACGGCACAATCAGTAACCAGTGCTTTGGTATTTTAGAAGTCCAGAACCACCAGAAAGTACTGAAGCAGAGCACAAGTATTTCCACAACACATTAAGTGGTATAGCATAAGAACATAAGAGAAGCCAATGTTGGATCAGGCCAGTGGCCCATCTGGTCCAGCACTCTGTCACACAGTGACCAGAAATACCAGGCGCCATCAGGAGATCCACCAGTGGGGCCAGGACACTAGAAGCCTTCCCACTGTTGCCCCCCAAAAAACACCAAGAATACAGTGCATCACTTGCCCCAGACTGAGAGTTCCTATCTATACCTTGTGGCTAATATCCACTGATGGACCTCTGCTCCATATGTTTATCCAATTCCCTCTTGAAGCCGTCCATGTTTGTAGCCACCACCATCTCCTGTGGCAGTGAATTCCATGTGTTTATCACTCTTTGGTTGAAGAAGTACTTCCTTTTATCCGTTTTAACCCCACTGCAGTTACGTAAAAGGGATTGTGCTTACAATAAGCTAAACACAGTAGAAGAAGAAGAGTAGGTTCTTATACCCTGCTTTTCTGGAGAGCCAGTTTGGTGTAGCAGTTAGGAGCATGGGAGAACCGGGTTTGATTCCCCTCTCCTCCACATGCATCTGCTGGTGTGACTTTGGGTCAGTCACAAGTTCTTTCAGAGCTGTTCTCTCAGCAGCAGAGCTCTCTCAGCTCCACCTAACTCTCAGGGTGTCCGTTGTGGGGAGGGGAAGGGAAAGGGGTTGGGAGCCGCTCTGAGACTCCTTCAGATAGTGATATGGGCGGGGTATAAATCCAACCTTCTCTTCCTCCTCCAAAGCTTCCATTTTCTATGTAGGTTGGAGATGAGCTGGAATTCTGGGGGGATCCCCAGACCCCACCTGGAGGCTGGCATCCCTAATCAGGGTTGCCCCTGTTCCGCTTCCGAGAGCTGACGAGATTGACCTGGAATGCCCAGGCTAGCCCAAGGCAGACGACAAACAGGTGGTTTGCCACTGCCTGCCTCTGCGTAGCCACCCTGGACTTCCCTGGTGGTCTCCCATCCAAGTACTGACCAGGGCCGACCCTGCTTAGCTTCCGCGCTTCGACAAGATGGGTTGACCCGGTCTATGGCGTGTGGAGTGGCATCACGTCACAGCTGACTCGCGGCAACCCCACGGGCTGTTAGTCATTCCCCGGCCGGGGCACTTGGCTATCTGATCCCCAATGGACGGTGAATTCAGTTAGCACAGGAGAGTCTTCACAAGGCCAGGGCCACGGATCCGTGGTATC